CAAGAACAATGAAGCCCACAAAGCCAACAACAGCAACAGCAACCGACGACGACAACGGTGACGACTCCTAGACTACGACTGCCGCGACGACGACGACGACGACGACGACTACTACTACTACTACTGCGACGACTACGACGACGACTACTATTGCGTACATTCTTATTAGACGTAGTAGTGGCAAAAACAATTCATTGTAAATGATTGTGATTATGCCTCTTTTTCGTTCCACAAATCATCTCACACCCCCAAGCTCTTGGTAGAGCCTAAAAAAGCCAAGCAAAGACAGGCCTAAACCAATAATTTAAACCCATACTTAAACCGCCACCCCACATCTTTCGACACACCGAACACCAAAAGCTGAAAGTCCCAATTGCACTGCAAATCCGAGAGCCTGCTTGCCCTTCTTGGCCCGGACACCTGGGTTTCGGGTTCAGTTCAGGCATTTTAGATCCTCAAACTCCGAAGCCCCCTGGTCCAGGGTTTGGGGTATAGCATTAGGGCCTGGCAGTTTCTGGTTTCGGGCCCGGATGCCTGCAGTCTCGTGCTGCTGCCTGGCCTGACTTTCCATGCTCCCCGCGGCCACTTCTGGGCCACAGAGTGGCCAATGAGTCAAAACTATGCCTGTTAGACCGCATCTCTCAACATGTAGGCACTTGGGGCCAAAAGCTTGTGTTTGGGGCTTTGAGTGGCTGTTCCACTCCAGACCCTAGCTAAGTTCGATGGTGACATCATGCTCGAAAACCCGTCTAATGAGTCTCGTGCTACTAGCTGGATGAAGAGGAAGAGCAGCCGGAGGAGGACCCCAATGGCTACTACAACGAAACCTGATGCTCGCTACTACTGCCGGGGCGGGGACGATGGGGACGACGAGTACGACGTCGGCGAAGGCGATCAATACCATGCGCATGATCACGAAAGTTGTAAACATGAGGGGTATTGCCATGATGATTCCGGTGAAGGATTTTAGTTATGAGAGATACCGGCAATCCGATAATCCATTTTTATGCAGTCCTTATGATGAATATCATTCCAAAGATTGCCATGATTCCGTTGATGGTTTTGTTGCATTGACAATCTGATACTTGCGTGAGTGCGATGGGCACTGATGGCCATCCACACACTGGTCCTGAATCGTGCATTGTGCTAGTGTAATATAGGCTCGGTGGTAATGTGAGGTCTCGGTCGGGTTTGAGGCTCGAATTATCTTTCTCGGCGTTCAATCATATTGTGAACCTCCTGGCACCATGCTCTAGAGCAGTGTTGCAATTGTTTGGTCATCGAAGGTCGTGACCATGGCCAGACTCATGAATGCAATCGTAGTTACAACGTAGCACAGGTTAGTCCTTAGTTGCCTTAGCTGCACAGATGGGTGAAGTCCTTTGGGGACCTCAGCCTTCTCCTCGAACAACAAGTGGGTGCCGAATTTCTGCGGGTTTCTGTTTGCGCCTGTGGGACTTTGTTTTGCTGCGGGGTGGACATCCAGCTCCTGCGAAATCCTTCAGCCCCATCTGGTCTGCCCTGAAGGATTCAACACAACTCTTCAGCCCCACGCGGCCTGCCCTGAAGGATTCAACAAAAATCCTTCAGCCCTACCCGGCCTGCGGCCCTGTAGGATTCAACAAAAATCCTTCAGCCTCACCAGGTCTGCCCTGAAGGATTCAACAAAAATCCTTCAGCCCCACCCAGTGGGCCCTGAAGGATTCAACCAATTTCTTCAGCCCCACCCGGTGGGCCCCGAAGGATTCAACAAAAATCCTTCAGCCCCACCCGGTGGGCCCTGAAGAACTCAACAACAAATTAACATATACTCAAAACATTCAGTTATTGTTACTATGAGTATTATTACTATAATGGTACTAGAATTACGAGGATTAGGATGAAGAAAAACAAGAGCATAAT